AGACTTTCTTTCATCTTCGAAACACAATTGAAGATATTTTAATGAGAACTGAGAGATTTCTGTCCTTCCGTTGAAAGTGTCAGGCAAGCACGTTTGAGCTTCAGCAAGAACCAGTGAGGTTTATTCTTGTGCGTCAAACAATCAAGCTTCAGCTTCTGTTTAACATAATTGATGAGCTTTATGTATGTGCCTTGATTAGTGTTTATATGTGAAACAATGAAACTGGAAATTTGATGTGTCAGTTTTTGGTGAATGCACTTGCAATGGCGGGACTGAATCTCTCAAAATATCTTAAATTCTTATAAATTCTTGTGGAGGTGGAAAAACATTAGGGTGAGTAATTCTAACTTTCTTCCAAATCTGTTTGTCTAATGAACCTGGCGTTGTATATTAGGATTATTGTTGTTTTTTTGACAAAAATTGTTTGTGTTCCTCTTTTGTATGTTGCTTTGGATAAAAGTGTCTGCTAAATGCATAAAATGTGAATGACTAATTGATGGCAATATTTTCATTTATGGGTCAAAAAACCTTTTAAAAATAGTTGTATAAGAGTAATTTCTTAAGCATTTAACATAAGCATCTATCCAAAGCAACTTGCAGTACTTTGAAATAGGTCATCTTTATCAGTTCGTGCATTCTCTGGGAATCAAAATCAGATCCCATTTCTGTTTGACAGTACAGCACATGGTAACATCATGTAGTAAGTGCACTGCTCTTGAAGCTTTAATAAGCTTTAATGTTGAGCAGGTTTGGTCCCCCCAGAAGTCCTAGCACAATTTGAACTCTAATCAGATTTCCTTGAGGACAAAATACATACCAATAATCCTGCAAAGTTGTAGCGTCCTTGCTCCATTACTGGACATTTCTAGTAACCCTAAAGCCCTTGATTAGTTTAATTAAAGTTGGAGCTGAACTCTGCAAGATTGAACACGTCTGCTCCATCATATATAGTGTGCTGAAAGAGCGGTATGTTTGCTTGGAAGTTATTCTGTGACTCCTGCTATCGTCACTAAGCGTTTCCATTTCAGTCTACTCAGAATAGTTCTCTAATCGTTCCCTGGGGATGTTTGCAGTGGCACTTAGCAGTCCACAGTTGACAGCACAATGAATAATGGTCCAGTTATCCAGACACCATTAATGTTTTAATAATTTTCAAAGACAGATAAGTATATTACACACATGAGTGCTGTCTGAATGTTTCATCCAAATGGCACCTACCAGAAGACTTAATGGAGTTCTCAGAAGGGTTTGATGGGAAATGTTGTAGTTCATATTGAAATCTCTGAATTTTGAATGCAGTGTTTGGTATCTTGGTATATCTGAGCACATTTATTGGTTGGATCTATTCTGATTCTGAAACTTTAGAGAAGACTAAATTTTTTTCTTTATGCTTTCATGCATTTGGCAGAAGCTTTTATGCAAAGTGACACAGCATTCAATATAACATTTTATCAGTTAATGCCTTCCTTGGGAATCAAACCCATGACCTTGGTGTTGCAGCACAACTCTCCGTTTGCTCTTTATCTGAACAGTGATGCATCAAAATGAAAATATGTCCAAAATTGGAAACTTCAGGATATTCGGGCTGAAACTGAAAATGCTGACCATTTTAAACAAGCCTTTTGAAACAGAGGGTTTAGAGATATTTCCACTTTCCATGTGGTACATGACATTTATCGTTTTAAATAGCCTTTCACTATTTGTGGCATCCACATGCTTACTATCATTATAAATGAATCAGTATTAATGTGATCATTTTAATGCACAACTGGGAAGCTTTAATGATGCTTCTCTAGATTTCTAGACAATTTATCCACAAGACTCAACAGCTGCATACATCACCTCTTTTGCCCTCATATATCATCTATCAACATTCAGTGTTTACATTAAATGTAATTAAACTGACGTTGTTTCATGTCTGTATTTGTCTTTGTAAATGATTTTTTTAAAGTAGCAGTTTTTCTTTTCAGATGTTCAGCCCATTGTCCATCTCCAGCAGTGAGATTTTTTACCAAAAATGTTTAATGGATAAAATGTTGTACATCCCTAAATCCAATCACTGTCTGGAACATTGACTGACAAACCTTTTGACCTCCAGATGTCATAATCACATTTTGTGCTTGATATTAAAGATGGTCGGTTTATAAATGTTAACATTTATTATCATTTTATGTGTCATGCGTTTATTTTATTCTCTGATTCCTAGGGATTTTTCTATTCTAAGGGCTGGAGAGTAAGAAAAGCAGAGTGAATGTCTTTGTGTTGAAGCTACTGGTCCAAGATCAATCGAAAACCTTATTAGTGCAGTTTATGGTTCGGAGCGGCATGCTCAAAGCATTCAAAGTGTAATTCAAGACTGGCAAACATTTTCCTAAAAAATCTGGTTGTGCACTATCAACACTTTAATTGACATTTCAGTATTGTCACATCAAATTAATGTGATTTGCAGCAGATCAGATCACATGTCTGGAGTGGGCTTTAATGTCGGATTCTCTTTAAGTAAATTGTTTGGAACAGGACTAGGTAAGGAAACTTTGTTAACACGCCACGTTCCTTGTGAGCTTTGGCTTGTTATGTGTCTTTGATAATCTGTCTCTGGCTGTCTGGCCCCTACCTTTAACAAGCAATCCTCACTTTCCCCAGTGCGGCTTTCTGCTGTGAGTCAAAGAGCAGGGCAGTGCTCTGCATTCATTCATTATTTAGGCTTTCAGGTATTAAAGGTTCGGAGAGGCCTGTCACAATCACTATGTTGTTCCAGCTCCCTTTCGGACTAGTAAACAGCTGACCAGAGCTGTCTTTCCACCACTTGTCTATTGATGGGCTGTCTGACATGCTCACCCTATAAGGACATAACACGGATGTAGGGCTGCAGCACCTTTTTACTGTCACCCATAGCTTTTAGCGTGAACCCAACACTCTAGTTTTCCTTTCTCCTTCCTGGGAGGATAACTTATTTAAGCAGTGTTACAGCTTACCACACGTCAATCGAAGAGCATTCCATCTCATTATCCCGATAAATGCTGATGATTCTGACCGTCTTTGCCCTGTGACTGTCTGCAGTCAGCCGCGCCGATGGGAGACGGGATGATGCGCGACCTTCTCCAGATGTTTCCTCTTGCACCATTCCCCACAGTGAGTCACTCGACAAGAGATGAGATTTATATTCTTATCTCGCCTCCTCATGCTGTACAGATGATCAGCCACTGTGACGGAAGTGGGAGGAGGTTGTGCATGAAGGGATTGTGCACATCCCTATGCTGTGTCTTACTATTGATCAGTAAATTGAACTGTGCAGGAACTGGCTATTAGTGTGCTCCTGATTCTGAAAAAACACCTTAAACAAGAGTCTGATGGGTTTAGCTATTGTTTTATAGGGATGCCATCATGTGTTAAAGGGATAGTTCGCCCAAAAAGGAACATTCTGTCATTAATTACACACCCTCATGTCGTTCATTCATCTTTGAAACACAAATTAAGATATTTGTGATGAAATCCGAGAGCTTTCTGACCCTCCATAGACAGCAATGCAACTGAAATGTTCCCAGGCCCAGAAACGTATAAAGGACATTGTTAACTCCTTGTACTTCATTACAGTGCCGTGCATAGCAGTATGAACCTCACAAATATGACTTGTACTCATTTGTGTGAAATAGTCCATGTTTCTGAATCGCTAGTGACATGTAATTTTCTGGCTCTTAATTTAATGTGTAGGATCCTCATTACTAAGTGTGGGAAATAGTGATGTTTCTATCAGATGCAACAGATGCAGTCCTCCTCAGGGCTGGTGCAATCTCCGCCGCAGTTTGAAGTCTGTTTTACCCGCAGTGGAGGGCTCGGTGCTAGATTCGCTGTGTAAAGAACATTCTTCTTGCCCACCTCCAGAGCTGGGTGCCATATGGTAGCCATCATGTGCGCTGAGGCAGACTGTTCTGCTGATGAGATGAGCCTGTGTTCAGCAGGCTTGCATAATTTAACAACCTCTGTAAATCTGTGCTTAGAAACCAATCTCCCTATAAAGCATTTCTGCCTCTCCCACCGCTTCTAAATGAAGCACGTCTTTAGCTCAGAAGTAGACTTTTAGAAACCATCTTGTCATGCTTTTGTATGCTGTGACTGCTCTGCAAGATTACATGCACTACAGCATAGGGAAACATGATGAAAGGTTGTTAAACCTCACAAAGACATTATACTTCTGTGCGCACAGATTTTTTTTTAAATCATACAGCATGTTACAATTAGAATTAGATTTGTTTACAAAGCTACCTTTTGTTGACAACCTGGTACAGTGCTTAACATTCATGTTCTTAATATATTGAATTGTGGTGCTTATGCAGATAATCATCTGTGTGTTTTGTGTTTTCCTTCTCTCTAATTTACAATACATATAAATAGTAGTAAAACTGAAACTTGAAATTAAACTATTTTCTATATATATATATATTTTGATCTCATAAAAACATCCTTGGTGAGCAAAAGCAAAACGTTTTGAACAGTAGTGTAGATAAATTATTTAATATTATTGTACTGAATATATTATAATGTGGTAGACATTTACTGATGACATTAAATTCAGAATTAAAACTTGTTTTGATGACTTGTTTAGATCTTTTAACAGTATTGAACTTTGTGTACAGAAATAAGTCTGTATAAATGGGAATACATGGACGTAATTTGTCAATTAATGGCATGCTGCAGAACTTGTTTGACTAATAAAATCCCTCAGTTTGTTTTTTGACTGTTGAATAAGTTTGAGTTACAATTCAGTAAATTAATCTTTCTGTAATTCCATTTTAATACTCAGCATCCTGTCTTTTGTGGCCAATTCTATTCAAATTCATACTCATAAAATAAAAGGAACCCAATCGTTAAAATCTGAATTTCGTCTAAAGCTGATAGAAATCATCTCATAAGTAAAGTTTTTTGTAAAATGTCTGTGACAAGTTGTCTATTGTAGCATTACAATGAATCTTAAGTCTGTTATAGTGACTCTCCTGAAGTCTTATCCTTGGTGTGATTGGGGGTTCATATAAAGGAAGGCTCTCGAGATTGACCGGTTAAAAGTGTGTGACATTTTCTTTTGTTAACTGGAAACAAGAGTGGAAATAAGCAGACGAAAGCTGCTCTCCCCCTCACTGCCGCCTCCATAATTGGTGGAGAGTTCAGCCACTTTCAGATGATGATATGTGTCACAGTTTTCAAGTGCATTTCGGGCAAAATATGTTGCTGCTCGCCGGTTATGGCCATAACCGCGGTGCTCTGCCCCCATGCTGAAACAATCACAGCTTCCTTTATTGAATACAACAAAATCAATATGTTTTTCATTTAGGCTTTGCGTGTATATCTGGCATTTCCAACTGTGGGAAAATGTACTGTATTTGTGCCGAATGACTAGGCGAAAGAGATGTTATGCTTTGATACTCCCTGTCAAATTGTTGACTTGGAGGTTTGTTTAGCAGAGAGGTCTTTGGAGATTGATGTTTTGATTTGGGCAAAAGCTGCTTCACTTCATTAATGAGCGGCCCACAGCGTTTCTCCACATCTCTCTCACACACGCTCTCAAATGTGTTTGATGCCAGAGGAGCTGTTATTTATCCTATGAGCTTGAATTGCACTTGGACTCATTTATAATCAGAGAACATTTCAACAAGAGGAGGCGTAAAAGGGTGAAAGATTCCTTGCCGCAGTGACAATGCTAGCATTAGATTAGCGTCATCGAATCTTTATTTATCGCCACACAGCCAAAGCAGGTGGAATTTGTTTCTGTGATTTTTCGCACGAAGGAGCTTTGTAATAAATGTACAAAGCAATCCGTTTGCATTTCCATCATCTCAGTGGCACTGTAAAAGTAATCCCCGTCTTCTGAAGCAATTTGATCAGGGCACAGCAATGACGTCAAACCTCTGAAGTTCATGATGTTAAGTCATGTGACCTGGGTGTAGAATGGTGTGAAATTGAAAAATTGAGAAAATATTTGTGAACAATCCATTAATACAGACACCAGAATCCGCTCCAATCTACAGCAGGTTGAGAAGATGAGTAAAAGTTGTAAAACCCATGTGGTCGGTGTTCGCACTCTTGTTCCTCCTCTGATAATCTTCTGCATCACACAGTCGTTCTAAATATGCATATTGTTTGGTCTCTGGTGGTGTGGTGCTCAGTTTGCTCTTGGAGTCTTTCCAGCTTTGTGAAAGTCCTCCTGCAGTCCAGATGGCCTGGAGCGTTTAGCTATGTTACAAAGGTTAGCCATCACTTTATCAACTAATTAGAATAACGAAACGAGAACTGCGTGATGATATAAATAATAAATGCTCACTTGTCATCTGAAAGCCATGGAATCCCCTTGTTGGTAAAAGAGGTCAGAAATGTAACTTTTAGCGTTTTAGTGTTAATCCAATGAAAGCTTTTGTTATTAGAATGAATTGCTGCTTAGCGTTTGAATCTGCAATGAATCAAGGACTAATATAGCGGTATGAGAGGTATTAATCGTCGCTTAAAAATGTGTGTGTATGTATGGAGTCTCTTAAATGATTGAATTAGCAGTAAAATAAAAACTCCTCCACAGTTTCAGAGCACTTATTGCATTGAGAACGGGACAGAATTGAGACGGTGGTTGTGAATAATCTGCCACACTGAAATGATTCCTGTCAAGACCAATTTTGTTT